GCTTCACCGTTTGCCTCAGTTTCCTCATCCACAAAATGAGCTGGAAAAGGAAATGGCAAACCACTCCAGTATCTCTGCCAAGAAAACCCCACTGGGGTCACAAAGAGTCCGACATAAACTGAAACGACTGAACAACAACAAGGCCGGCTTGTAAAGGCTGATGCAGCCCCACATTTCTGGGCTGCTATTTCTAAACTGCTCCTCATATTGTAGAGCCTTTTGTGTCCGATTCAATCCAACAAGCATTTAATGAGAGCGTACCATGTGTCAGGTGCTACGCTAGGCCATGGGGACACAACAGCAAAAACCAAACCTTCCAATAAGAGAAACGAAAGCTGGCTGGGAGGCAGAGATGTTGGATGCCCAAAGGTACCAGCTGGTAGTCTACTGCTCTGAGCAATCATCCTCAGGAGCTGGATGTTGAGCCTCATGGTCTGGATTCCAAAGAACCAAGTGTTCTCTAACTTCAGAGGCTTGGGGAAAAGCTCTGGTTATGCCTCACCTACAGCTCAAGGGCCTTCCTTCCCCCTGGCCTTACAGCCTTCTAACCTGAAGCCCTCTCTCCACTTTCCTGATCTCCTACCCCTCCAGGCTCCCAGTTTCCCATCCTTGAAGACTTCCAGACTGCCCGTATATAGGAGGCACCTTCCAGAAATGGGATTCTGGGCACTGGTCTCCATCACTGAGTGGTGAGGATAGAAAAGCAATGAAGCACATTCACGGAAGGCATGTGGGGTGGAGGAACTTGGAAGGGAGATAATGAGGTCCTCTCTAATGAAGATGGGAATAGTAGAAGCCTGGAAGTAAAGCTGCTTTTTTTTTTTTTTGTTTGTTTTGTTTTGTTTTGGTTTTTAGGCAATTTGGTTTTTAGGCAAGTTTTAAGTGACTTGCCCACAGTCACACAGCTAGTGTCAAGTCTCTGGTCTGAAGCTAGATTTGAACTCAGGTCCTCCTGACTCCAGGGCCGGTGCTCTATCTATGGCGCCACCTGGCTGTCTCTAAGGCATTTTTAAAAAATTAAGTTTTCTTGCCCTGACCTCACTGAGGGAGTATACAGAGAAGGGAAGGGAACTCTCATTTGTTAACTATACTAAGTACTTTACAAATATTGCATTTGGTCCTCACGACATTTATAACTACTACCGCATTTGATCCTGCGAGGCAGGTACTATGATCCCTATTTTAAAGTTGGGAATATTGAGGCAGTTAGAAGTTAAGTGACTTGCCTAGGGGGAAAAGCTAGTAAGTGTCTGAGGAAGGATTTGAACTCAGGTCTTCCTGACTCGAGGCCCAGCCCTCTGACCTCTGCACCACCTAGCTGCCTCTTAGGTGTGAAGTCTTGATTATGTAGCTCCTGCCCACATGGTTTACCTCAATGATATGATGTCCTGATCAAACTGAATTATCCCAAAGAATTATAGATACTTAAGAGTTGAAAGGCTTCTTAGAATCATCTAATCTAACTTCCCACATCATGTAAGAATCCCTTTTATAATATTTCTGACAGGTGGTCATCCTGTTTCTTCTTAAACATATCTAGTAACAGGCAGCTCACTACCTCAAGAGATTGTTAGTTTCATTGTTGGACAATCCTAACTGTTCAAAAGTCCTTTATGCTCATTGGTCCCCCATTCGCCAATTGGAACCACATAGAATGCCCAGTCCCTTTTCTATATGATAGTCCTTCAGGCATCTGAGGACTCTCAACCTGGAGTAACCCATCTCCCAAGACATCTCCCAGTGTGTGGCCACTGCACATGCTACAGTTTATTGAAGCCACAGGTGAGAGTTGGGTGAAGGTGGACACCTAAGGTGGAGAAGCAGCCCTGAGAAGGGCTCGGCAAGCCCTTACACCGGAGGTGCTAGACCTCCCTGAGCACCCCATAAATCCCACTATATTAATATTATCATAATGTAATATCTTCCTTTGAACAACTGTGATTCACTTAAATCCAATGTCACCAGCCCTCTTCGAGAACAAAGGACGAACAGCATTCGAGGACAACATACTCCCTAAATCTCTTTTTCACCCAGCATCACGGCATCTAAGAGAAGAGGAAGGGTACTCCAAAGGTCTCCCTGCCTGAAGAATCCCCTTTACAATGTCCACAACAGTGGGGCATAATGTTTTCAATTCAGTGCCCCCAATGATGGAGCACTGACTACCTCTCAAAGCAGCCTGTTCCACTTGAAAAGAGTTTTACCGATGACTTCTGTTATAAAATCACGATAATTTTTGCATATCCCACTCACTTATCTGTCCCCAGTGAACCTTCCCTCTTAATAAAGAAAAACAGTTCAGCAAAACCAATCTGCACAGTGAATATCTGCCAGTGTATGTAATCCCCCACCTCCATGCTTCCTCAACTCCCCAAGGAAAGGAAGATTCTCCTCATCTTTTCTTTGAAGCCAGATTGGTCGTTGTATTTATAAAACTTTCCTATTTGTTTTGTTGTTAATTTAGGTTGTATTAATCATTGTGGGTATCATTTTCCTGGTTCTGCTTACTCTGTATCAGTTCAGATATGTCTTCCCCTATGAGGTCATGGAATAACTGATCTAGAGCTACAAGAGTCCTTAGAGGTAAAGCCAACTACCTTATTTTTCAGATGAGGAAACTGAGGCTCAGAGAGGTTAAGAAACTTGTCCAATGTGAAACAGACAGTAAATAACAGAACTGGGATTTGAACTCAGGTCCCATAGTTTAGCGGTCTTTTCACTACATTATGAGGTGCAATAATATTTCATTATATTCAAGTACTACAATTTGTCCAGCGATTCCTCCCACTTTGTTTCTAGTCCTTCACTATAAAATTTACTGCTAGGAATATTTTGGTATATCTATATCTATATATCTATATGGTATATTGGTATACATATATAGGTATATATGTATGTAGGTATGTATATATACACACATTGTATATCTGTATATGTGAGTATACACACCCACATACATGTTATATATTGTATATATATGTATGTATATACATACATACATATATATATGTATATATCACTTTTCTTTCTGTCCTTGACTTCCTTTGACTATATACCTAACAGTGAGATCTCTGAGTCGGTATGGACATTTCAAGTAACTTTTTTATTAAGCAAATTGCTTTCCAAAACGATTAAATCAATGTACAACTTTATGTACAGTGTATTAATGTGACTGCTGTTTCTTAGCCCTTCCAACATTGACTATTTCCATCTTTTGTCATTTTTGTCAATATCCTGGATGTGAGGTAAAACCTCCGAGTTGTTTTCTTTGTGCATTTATCATTAATGATTTGGAGCTGTCTTTCCCATGGTTGTTAATTGTTTTCAGTTTTGAGAAATGAATGAATATCCTGTGACTACTTATCTATTGGTGATTTTCTCTTGGTCTTATAGATTTGTGTTCATTCCCTATAATATATCTTGGCTACCAGACTTTTATTAGGGTTTATAAATGATAACAAAGACTTCCCCCTCCCTCTGTGTACTTGCTGTTTAGTCATTTTTCAGTTGTATCTGACTCTTCGTGACCCCTTTAGGGGTTTTCTTGGCAAAGATACTGGAATGGTTTGCCATCCCCTTCTCCCTCACGGTACAGTTTCCTTCTAATCCTAGCTCTGATGATTTTGGTCATACAAAAGTTTCTGAATTTTATGTAATCAAAATTGTCTTTAGCTTTTGGGATCCCTTTTAACCCTTCTTCGGTTAAGAAACCTCACATTGCCTAGGTTGTGAGGCTTCCTTCCTTCCATTTTCCTGTATTTTTAAATAAATTATGCAACCTCATATTTAAGTTAAGGATCTATTTGGAACTTCTTGTCGTGTATGATGTAAGATCCTGGTCTAATTTTTTTTTTAACCAAACTGCTTCCAATTTTTCTAGCAGTTCCTCATCCCACTTTTGGGCATTTGTAATTTTGTAATTTACGTGGTATTTTTTTTTTCTTATATCAAGCCTGAAAGCCTAAATTTCATCTCTTTTCAAGTTTCACTTATTGCATGTGAACTCCTCTCTGGGACCGAGAAGAGTGAGTCTAATCTCCCAAACACTTGAAGGACAACTCTTCAAATACTTGGCAACAACCATCTTCTCTTAAAAATCCTCCATTTGTGCAACTTTTCCTTAAATGGCCTGAAATCAAGGCTTTCCACTAACCTGGTTGCTCTCCTATGGATGACTGCCAGCTTACTAACGATTTTCCTAAAACATGGCTACTAGAACTGACCAGGATGTTCCAGATGTGGTCTGATCAGGGGAGGGTGCAATGGGACTATCCCCTCCCTAGCTCTAGACACTGTCACTGTCACTGTCTTAATGCAACCTAAAATTGCGTCAACTTTCTTCTCTCCCATCACACTGTTAACTCCTATTGAATCTGCAGTCCACTAACACCCCCAACTCTTTTTCACATGAATTGTCCCACTCCTTTGCACCTGCCCCATTTTAGACTTATGAAATGAACTTTTTTTTTTGTTTTTTGGTAAGGCAACCAGGGTTAAGTGACTTGCCCATGGTCACACAGCTAGTAAGTGTCAAGTGTCTGAGGCTGGATTTGAACTCAGGTCTTCCTGACTTCTGAGGCTGGATTTGAACTCAGGTCTTCCTGACTTCAAGGTCAGAGCTCCATCCACTACACCACCTAGCTGGCCCATGAAATGAATTTTTTAAACCCATGTGTAAGATG